AGGGTCAATATGTTCAACAAGTTTTGGACCTTACACACGCGTATACATAGATACACAATATACATACGAATATACATACGCACATAACGATGCGGCTACATGTACATATACAAGTACATAGACATGTACACATGTATGCACACATACACATACCTGTATATATACGCATACATATACATGTACATATACATGTACACAGACATAAACATCAACGCATGCGTGTACATGTGTATATGTGTACACCGTATACACCTATTCACACACATCTACGTGAACGTATACATATACACAAACAAGCACATGAACATTTACACATACGTGTACATATGCACATGTACATATGAAAACACATGTACATATACACGTGCTTACAAATACATATGCACATGCACGTACATGAATATAAGCGTATACATAGACATGGGAGTATACATACACATAGACGTATGTGTACATATGCGTGTACGTATGCATGCGCATATACATGTACGATTGCATATACATATGAATATACAACTACATATACATGTACAAGTACGAACACGTATACCGATGTAAACGCTTACATGTACAAATACGCAAACCTAACAACACACATACACATACAAATTTACATAGACGTACACGCTTACATCTACATATACATATACATACACATAAACGTATACGTATACCTATAGGTATACACATGCGTATATGTATGAACTGTATGTGAATGTATATACAGATATGCATATACAACTAGACATATATATATATATATATTCATATATACATATACACATATATACGAACATGCATACTGCATATCCATACGCAAATACACAAGCATTGACATACACGTACGTAAACGTATATACATACATAATGCCAAGTATGGCTATGTCTATGTATAATCACACACGCATATACATGTGTAGTTATATGCACATATACAGAATCATTAACATACACAAATACAGATGCAACACATGCATGCTTATATAAATATATGAATAACTGCATGCATACATACATACATACATGTGTGCGCAATAGCACGTCCATGCTTGTATACATATACATATATGGTTGTACCTACACGCATACGGCTTAAATTCGTAGTCGCTCACCAGCATTGTAAAGAGATCCCCTAAAACCGCACAAGTATTGCATGGGAATGTGCGGACCCCCGCGTTGACCCATATCCTTGTCTTCCTCCTCCTCCACCTCCTCCTCCGCCTCCTCCTCCTGCTCTTCCTCCCCCTCCTCCTCCTTCTCCCCCTCCTCCTCCTCCTACCTCTCCTCCTCCTCCTCCTCCTGCTCCTCCTCCTCATCATCATCCTCAGCCATTTCGCGTCCGAGCGGCCCCCCACTGCATTGGGCCTCCTGGACGACGCGGCGCGCCAACTTCGAAGTGGCGCTGCGCGCCCGAGCCGTCAAGAAGAAGCAGCGCGGAGCCCAACGTCATCAGCTACCATGCTGAGACCAGGCGACCGCGCAGCTACCAGGATGCCCGCTCCCTTCCGCCCCCTCCTCCCCTCCGTCCTTCCCGTACTCCACCTCCTGGCACACCGGGGCGCAAGCCGATGCGGCGCCGCGGACAGAGTGCGGGGAAAGCAGGGTCTCGATCAGCTACACCGTAGGGATCAGGCCGTGAGAGAAGACAAGCAGTGGCAGGCAAAGCTGACGCTGCGAGAAAGCAAGCAGTGGCAGCCAGAGCTGGCGCTGCGAGAGGGACGAAAGCGCGGGTGTGCCACGATCAGCTGCAACGCTGGGAGTAGTCCGTGCGAGAAAGGGAGTGCGCAGTGGCAGCGGAAGCTGGTGCTGTGCAAAACGTGCGGGTGGGCCACGATAAGCTACAACGCTAGGAGCAGTCCGTGCGAGAAGTGGGGCCTGCGAGAAGCGGTAGGCAAAGCTGGAGCACGAGTGTCTCATCTAGCTAACGCCTCTGGGAACAGCGCGTGTGTTCTGTCGCGACGCAGGTGAGCGCCGCCATGCGAGAAGCGGGAGGCGAAGGTAGAGCCCGACGTGGTCACCTGCAGCGTTGGGATCAGTGCCAGAAAAAAGGGAACGCGCAGTGGCAGCGGACGCTGGTACTGTGCAAAACGTGCGGATGGACGCCCAGCTACGACGCTGGGAGCAGTCCGTGCGAGAAAGGGCGCATGCGAGAAGCGGGAGGTGAAGCTGGAGCCCGAGTGTCTCATCCAGCTAACGCCTCTGGGAACAGCGCGTGCGAGAAGAGCGAGCGGTGTTCTGTCGTGGCGCAGGGGACCGCCATCCTGCGAGAAGTGGGAGGCGAAGGCAGAGCCCGACGTGGTCAGCTACAGCGTCGGGATCAGGGCAACTCGCTGCTTGAAGAAGGAGGCAAAGCTGGAGCCCAACGTCACCCTCCTAGCTACCACAGCGCGCTGGGAGAAGCGAGAGGCAAAGCTGGAGCCCGACTCTATCTTCCTCTAGCTAACACGTTGGGAGAAAGCGGTGCGAGATCAGCTACAGCGCTGGGATCGAAATGGCACGGGGATCCGCTGGAGGGCTCATCAGCTATAGTGCTGGTAACATCTCTAGCGAGAAGGGAGGCGCTGACCTGTGCGCAGGCGGCGCCGAAGGCACGGCTCGGCGCTACCTGGGGGTGGGGCCGCAGCCGAACCAACGCAGATGGGATCAGCTAGTGTGCGGGTATCGTCAGCGTGAGGTTCAATGGCATGGGGCACCCCCAAGACCACTTGTGAGGGGCGCCTCCCGATTTGACCAAAGCCGAACTTTATCGCCCAGGGACGGCCTGGGGTAGGGGCGGCTTTCAACGTCGCCGGGGTGCGTGCCTCGCAGCTCCGGAGATCTGGCTAGCGAAATCCAGCGAAATCCTCATCCTCCTCCCCGTCTTCCTCTTCATCCTCCCCTTCCTCCAATTCGTCCTCCTCCTCCAAGTTATCAGCAGAAGTCCTACAACTGCTCTTCACACAGGTTTCCCAGTGGTTCCTGCTACACCCACGCCCATAGCTCCCACTACAATTTTTGATGCGAGTCCTGGTACACGTGGTGGGGCACATCCCATTGCATACCCGAGTGCATATCGTATTGGGCTCCCCACTGCAGCCGATAGCATTGTTTTCGTTTATGTTGCGACCGAAGTGTCTGTCACGCGACAAATTGCCAACGGTCGCACAAACCCCAACGTAATTCCCTCGGGCGCTCTTGCAAAAGTTTCCAGCGCAGATCCTACTGCGACGCATCCTGCAATTTTCACTACAGCACCCTACAACACATGCTGCATATCGAAACACAGCTCCTGCACTAACCCCATTGGTGCCGCCACGAATACAGTTCCCGTAACACACTGTACTACAATCAGTCCTAAACGTACAGCTCCCACTACAGCTCGTACTACTGCCCGCAGACACACGCACACGCACGCACACGCACGCACGCACGCACGCACGCACGAACCGACGCACACACACACACACACACACACACACACCCGCGCGCGCGCGCACGCCACGCACACGCAAACGCCACACCACCACACACAACACACACACACCACACACACGCGCACACGCACACGCACACCCGCAACCGCACACTCACACGCACCCCCCACACCCACACACACACACACACACACACACACACACACACACACACACACACACATCACGCACACACACACACACACGCACACGCACACACGCTCACGCTCACGCTCACGCACACGCATACGCACACACAAACACGCACACGCACACACACACGCACACGCCACACGCCACACGCCACACGCCACACGCCACACGCACACGAACACGCACACCACACACACACACACACACACACACGCACGCACGCACGCACACACACACACACACACACACACACACACACACACGCACACACACACACACACACACACACACACACACACACACACACACACACACACGCACGCACGCACGCACGCACACTACGGCTCCTAAACTACCGCTCTACAGCTTTTACTACAGCCAGAACTACAAGTGTCACAGCTGCTACTCGACAACTCTCACTACCACTCCGACCGCAGCTCTTACTACAGCCCCAAGCAATAGTTCCTACGATCGCCGCTCGCAGTGCTCTGACTACAACTCTTGCTGCAATTTCTGCTACAGCTGGCGGTGCGATGCTACGACGTATCCCAGCGCAGCTATTTTTGCAAATCAGGCCACAGCCATAAGCGCAGCAATTAGGACTGGTTTTGCGAGCCTCCAGCTGGAAGCAACAGTACTGATCATGCATATCCCGAAACAGCTCCTGATGGAGTTCCTCGCGCAGTCAATAACATGGCTCCCAATACTGCTCCTACTACCAAAAAATAATCTTGGGATTAGGATTTGTGTATGTGCCTCTCTGACCGAGCAGTATCCGAATGCAGCTCTTACTACAGGTCCCCGGTACAGCTTCTAATACATGTCCCATGCCTCTGTCAATGTTTGGGGGGTTCCCGGGCAGCTCGGAGAGCTCCCATCAGCTCGGGCAGCTCTGAGAGCTCTGCAGCTTCCTTTTTCCAGCGACCGAGCGATGGGCGGCTCCCACGCCGCTCCTGGCCACTCTCGCCGTAGGTGCCGCAAAAGCCAAAAGCCCCGCCTCGGGCGAGGGGATCATCACGGACCTCATCCATGCTTATAATCAGGCCAAGCTTGCCTCCGCAACCGAGAAGGAGGATGCGGTGTGAAACGACTGGGACGGAAGCTGAAGAAGTGAAAGGTGGTGAGAGCAGGCCTTCGAGGGCATCGCAGCCTCCGTGTGATCGTCTTCTCCTAGTAAGCCTCCGACAGCAATCCCAGAATGCCCAAGATGCTTGACGTAGAAATTCAAGTACTTGTCTCCGTTTTGAGTGCGCCCATGGGCAACTTTCACCTGCACCGTCCCGAATTTATACCACTTCGGCTTTCCGTGCTGCGCGTCCTGAGCTTGGAAACGGAGACCGCTGGTCCCTTCCGCCTCCACCCACTGCCCTGTGATGTTCAGTTCTTGAAAATACATGTCTGCGCATTGCCCACCGATTTGACGCGCATCAGCCTGAACACGAAGCAGTGCGTGCGTACGCCTTCCACGAGGAATGTTTATCAGAACGTGCTTGCCTGGCTTCATCAAATCGAATCGCTGACCAAGCACATTCATCAGGTGGGGATCGCCAGTTGCAGACGCACCTCCAGCCCCACCTGCCATGGGAGCTCCAGAAGTGAAAGTCGGGTGCGGCGTCGGCCACCCTGGAGGGTACGTCGGGCTGGGCGTCGGGCTGGGCGTGGGGAACGCCGTCGGGAAGGCCGTCGGGTAGGGCGTCGGGAAGGCCGTCGGGAAGGGCGTCGGGAAGGCCGTCGGGTACGGCGTCGGGTACGGCGTCGGGTACGGCGTCGGGAAGGCCGTCGGAAACGCCGTGGGGTACGGCGTCGGGTACGGCGTCGGGTACGGCGTCGGGGAGGGCGTCGGGAAAGACGTCGGGGAGGGCGTCGGGGAGGGCGTCGGATAAGGCGTCGGATACGGGGTAGGAGATGGTGTCGCCGTGGGGTAGGGCGTCGGGCTGGGCGTCGACGCAGAGCAAGTGCACCCGCCACACGTCGAGCTGCTTTTGCCAAAAGAGATCTGGAAGAAGGCGCCATTGTGGTACAGACCGTCGACAGAATCCGCCGACCCCTTGCGGTTCATCGGCGTGTGAGATGTTTCCCCCTCCCAAACCCTTCCCCGGGAGCCCGGTCCGGTCGACTTGGAGGGGTGGGACCCCCGGGGTCCAAGTAAACGCATCTGGGGGGGCAGAGGGCCCAAAAACAAGCCAAGAGGGCCCCAAGGGGCCCTCGGGCCGGTCCACGAGGGCCACGAGTCGCTGAAAGATCGATCCAAAACGCCCACGCTGGTCTCCAGACGGTCCAAGAGGCCCCCAAGACGCCCCAAGAAGCCTCCAAGAGGCGTCCCGAGAAAGCCTCCAGAAGCAAAAATCGTCCCATTGCCCTTGGGAAACGTGATTTGTTTGCACTTCGCCTCTTGGGCGTTCACAACGTCCCAGACGGCCCAAGAGGCCTTCAAGAAGGGCTCCAAGATGACCCAGTAGGACCCCAAGACAGCACAAGAAGCACCCAAGACGGCCCAGGAGGGCCCCAGGACAGCCCCAAGAGGGAGCCCAGAGGGGGAACCCCAACGGACGTTTCGAGTCTTCCACCCCAAAACGCCTCCGGGTTGCCCCGAGAAGCCCCCAACAGGCCCCCAGGGAGCCCCAAGATGGCCGTAAAAAGCTCCCAAGAGGCCCCCAGGAGGCCCCCGAGAGGTTCAAACACTGCCTCCAAGACGCCCCCGAGACGCCTCCCACGAGACCCCATCAGCCATCCGAGTGGCCTCAGACCCGCAACCCAGGCACGGTGGCGGGACGTGCCGAGAGCCACTCGATCCGCCGCCCCCTGTCGATCCATCGCAGGGGTGCCTGGCGTGCCGAATCCTATCGGCTTTGGTTCTGGTTCTCTTCCGAAAAGAACTCCCCCTGGGGCTCCGGCGCGTCCCGCCGGGGTCCTGGGAGACCCGGTTGCAAACGCCAGAAACGGCCGTTTCGCTCGGAACATCGTCAAAAAATCGCGAAGATGGCCCAAGATGGCCTCCAAGTCTGCCCAAGATGGTCCAAGACGGCCTCCAAGACGGCCCAAGAGAGTCCAAGACGGCCCAAGACGGCCCAAGAGGCCCCGAAGAGGCCTCCAAGACGGCCCAAGAGGCCTCCAAGAGGTCCTCCAGGAGGGCCCGAAGAGGCCCAAATCATTGATTTTCCTCAGGTCTTTGAAGGATTTTGGCACTTGCTTCTTCTCGGCATCCCGACAGCTCAAGACGGCCCAAGAGGCACCCAAGATCGCCCAAGAGGCCCCCAAGAGGGCCCCATGACGGCCCAAGTGGCCTCCAAGACGGCCCCAAGAGGGCCCGGCGCGTCCCGCCGGGGTCCCGAGAGATCCCCAAGCCCGCCCCCAAGACGGCCCAAGAGGCCTCCAACACGCCCAAGATGGCCTCCAAGACGCCCAAGAAGGCCTCCAAGACGGCCCCAAAGCGCCACAAAAGGGCCCCAAGTCGGCCCAGAAAGGCCCCCAAGACGGCTCCCGACGGCGTCAGACGTCCCAGGAACCCACCGAGATGGCCGAAGTTGGCTCGAAGCTGGCTCAAGACGGCCGAAGAGGCCCCCAAGAGGGCCTCCAGGAAGGCCAGAAGAGGCCCAAAACATTGATTTTCCTAAGGTTACTGACGGATTTTGATATTTGCTTCTTTTCGGCCTTCCGACGGCCCGAGACGGCCCAAGAGCCCCCAAAGATCACCGAAAGATCGCCCAAGAGGCATCCAAGATGGCGCCAGAACGGCCCAAGAGGGCCCCAAGACGGCCCCAAGAGGCCCCCAAGACGACACAGGAGGCCTTTAAGACGCCCAAGATGGCCTCCAAGACGGCCCTGGAGCATTCCAAGAGGGCCCCAAGTCGGCGCATAGAGGCCCCCCAAACGGCTTCCGACGGCGTCAGACGGACCAGGAGCCCACCAAGACGGCCGAACATGGCCCTAAGATGGCCCAAGGCGGCCCAAGAGGCCTCCAAGAGGGCCTCCAGGCAGGTCCGAAGAGGCCAAACTCATTCATTTTCCATGAGTTTTTGAAGGATTGTGGCATGTGCTTTTTGTTCGGCCTTCCGACTGCCCGAGACGGCCCAAGTGCCCCCAAAGATCGCCCAAGAGGCCCAAGCCACGGCCCCAAGAGGCCCCCAGAACGGCCCAAGAGGTCTCCAAGACGCTCAAGATGGCCTCCAAGACGGCCCAAGAGCCCTCCAAGACGTCCTCCAAGAAGGCCCGAAAGGGTCAAAAGGGCCTCCAAACGGCCAAGGTGACAATCAAGATGCCCACGTGTTCCCCGAAGCCTTTCCAAACCGATTCGGGGAACACATGGTCCGATAGCTTGGCAGGTCTGGCCTCAACATTCGGCCACATAGGCGCTTCCAAAAAGGCAGGGGCGGCGGTGATTCGCCGTAGGCGTCTTCGATCCGCCGCCCCCTGTCGATTCATCGCAGGGGTGCCTGGCGTGCTAGACCCTGGCGTGCCTTGGTTCTTTTTCAAAAACAAAAAAAAAAAAAAAAAAAAAAAAACTCCCTCTGGGCCTCTGGCACGTCCCGCCGGCCACCCGGAAAGGTGCCCAATTGCACAGTGTGTCCTCCAGGACGGCTCAAGATGGCCTCCATGATGGCCACGTTGGCCCAAAATGGCCTCCAAGACGGCCCCCGATGGCCTCCAAGTCCGCCCAAAAGAGGAGGAGATGCCTCCAAGTCCGCCCAAGAAACCTCCAAGACGGCCCAAGACAGCCCAAGAGGTGCCCAAGAGGTGCCCAAGAGGCCTCCAAGACGGCACAAGAGGCTTGCAAGAGGTCCTCCAGGAGGGCCCGAAAACACCGAAATCATTAATTGTCCTTAGGTTTGCGAAGGTTTTTCGTATTTGCTCCTTTTCGACTTTCCGACGACCCAAGACGGCCCAAGAGGCCCCCAAGATCGCCCCCACAGCGCCCAAGAGGCCTCCAATATGATCTCAGGACTGCCCAAGAGGCCCCCAAGACGGCCCCAAGAGGGCACAAAGACGGCCCAGGAGGCCTTTAAGACACCAAGATGGCCTCTAAGACGACCCTAAAGCATTCCAAGAGGGCCCAAGTCGGCCCAGAGAGGCCCCCAAACGGCTTCCGACGGCGCCACCAAAACGGCCGAAGATGGCCCTAAGATGGCCCAAGACGGCCCAAGAGGCCTCCAAGAGGGCCTCCAGAAGGCCCGAAAAGGCCAAAATCATTAATTTTCCATGAGTTTTTGAAGGATTGTGGTATGTGCTTTTTGTTCGGCCTTCCGACTCCGACTGCCCGAGACGGCCCAAGTGCCCCCAAAGATCGCCCAAGAGGCCCAGGTCACAGCCCCAAGAGGCCCCCAAGACGGCCCAAGAGGCCTCCAAGATGCTCAAGATGGCCTCCAAGACGGTCCAAGAGCCCTCCGAGACGTCCTCCAAGAAGGCCCGAAAGGGTCAAAAGGGCCTCCAAACGGCCAAGGTGACTTTCAAGATGCCCACGTGTTCCCCGAAGCCTTTCCAAACCGATTCGGGGAACACATGGTCCGATAGCTCGGCAGGTCTGGCCGCAACGTTCGGCCACATAGGCGCTTCCAAAAAGGCAGGGGGCGGCGGTGACTCGCCGTAGGCGTCTTCGATCTTTCTTCTGGTAGTTTGACAAATGCCCGCCGTCTGTATACATGGGTTCTCGCCCGTTTCCCCATGCGCGCACGGCAAATACTGAGAACGTCAGCCGAAGAGGCCCCGAAAAGGCCCCCAAAAGGCCCCCATAAAGCCCCAAAAGAACTCCAAGAAGCCCCCGAAAGGCGCCCAAGAGGCCCTCGGGAGAAATGCACAACAACCGCCAGTTCCTCCAGGGGTCGGCGGTTTGGCGTAAGCCCAAGAATACACGTCCGGAGGTGACGTGCTGAGCGGCAGCGTTTTCCGGCGAACGCCTTACTGCAACGTATCCAATTTATCCAATGATTGCATACTTGCCACATGTTGCATTGTGTTACATTATTATGTCTCCCCCCCTGATAACCCCCCTGGGAGCTGCGCCACACCGCCGGACCAAAGTGGCCCCCCCCCTCCCGGGGCTCAGAAACCTACCAAAACTTATAGAAAATCGATGATTTCGACCTCTTGGGCCTCTTGGGGGGCCGAGAGGGCGCCAAGACGGTTCAAGATGGGCTCTGTGCGGGCCAAAACGGCCCCGAGACGGTCCGAGATGGTTCCAAGAGGGCCCAAAAAGCCCAAATGACGGCCAAGAGGGCCCCAAGAGCGCCCACAACTGCGCCTCCAGAGGCCAAAATCATTGATTTTCCTATGGTTTGGGCACTCTTTTAACGTTCTCGCCTTTGCGGCCCAAGCAGCTTCGCAAATAGCTCCAGCACAACCCAAGAAGCCCCCAAGAGGGCCCCGAGACGGCCCAACAGAACCCCAAGACGGCCCAAAGAGGCCCCCAAGACGGTCCAAGAGGCCCCTATGACGGCCCAAGAGGACCCCAAGACGGCCCCAAGGCGGCCGCGAGAGGCCCCCAAGACGGTTTCCGACGGAGCGAAACGGCGCAAAAGCGCCCCAAAACCGCCAAAGACGCCCCCAAGAGGCCCCAAGAGGCCCCCAAGGGGCCCCAAAAAGCCCCCAAGAGGCCTCCAAGATGTCTTCAAGAAGCCTCCCAAAGGCTCCAAAGAAGCCCCCCAAAGGCCACACAGCGACTGCCCCAAGACGGCCCGAGATGGCCCCGAGAAGGCCCCAAAAGCCCCCAAGACGGCCCAAGGGGGCCCCAAGAGCGCCCACAAGAGCGCCTCTAGAGGCCAAAATCATTGATTGTCCTATTGTTTTAAACAGATTTTAGCGTTCTCGCCTTCTCCGCCTCTCAGAAGCCCATGACGGCCCAAGCAGCCTCCAAGATGGCCCCAAGAAGGCCCAAGAAACACCCAATGGGGATCCAATGGATCTAATGATTCAAAATTGCTACATGTTGTATTGTTGTACATTATGATGTCTCCCCCTCGAACCCCCTTTGGAGTCGCGCCACTACGCCGTACCAAAGTGACGGCCCCAATTCTGGTGCTCTCTCTCTCTCTCTCTCTCTCTCTCTCTATATATAACAATTTCGGTATTTAGGGTCTCTCTGGGACTCCAAGAAGGTCTCCATATGGCCCGGGGTGGCTCCAAGACGGTCAACTACGCACTCAAGACGGCCCAAGATGGCCCAAGAAAGCCCAGAAAGCTCCCCAAGACGGCCCAGGAGGGCACCGAGAGCACCCCCAAGAACGCACCCAGAGGCCAAAATCAATGATTTTCCAACAGTGTTTGAAGGATTTGGGCGTTCTCGCCTTTTTCGATTGTCAGAGGCCCAAGACGGCCCAAACAGCTTCCAACATTTCCCTCAGACCGCCCCAGAAGCGCCCACGGGAGCCCAAAGACGGCTCCAGAGGGCCCCAAGACGGCCCAATGAACCCCCCAAAACAACCCAAGAAGCCCCAAGACGGCCAAAGAGGACCCCAAGAGAGCCCCAAGGCGGCCGTGAGAGCCACCCAAGACGGCCTCCGATGGGGCGAAACGGGGAAAAAGCGCACCATCACGGCACAAGACACCCCCAAGAGGCTCCAGGAGGCACCCAAGAAGCCCCCAAGAAACCCCCAAGAAGCCCCCAAGAGGCCTCCAAGAGTCTCCCAAGAGGCTCCCAAAAGGCCCCACAACGACTGCACTGAGCGGCCAGCTGACTGTCTGGACCAGGTGCAGCACGTGGCTCATCGCACGAACTCCACTGGGCGCAGCGCGCCTCCAAGTGCAGGCCACGACTTGACTGTACGTACTCTGGACGTGCACCCCGCGAAGCGAGAGGAATCAACCTCTACCTTGATTGTGTGCACCCCAGGTGAAAGCGAAAACGTCTGCGAGGGCATGTTGACATCGCACATGATGCAGGTGCTGACCTGGCACGCGCTACCCCCGTGGCCGTTTGAAGCTTGCACCGTGGTGATCAGGACGTTATCCACGAACAGCTGGAATTTTTCGAAATTGGCCTCCGCCACGCCTGTCATCGAAAGGGTCAGGTCGATGGGAGAAGCGTCGTTCAAGGAGAGAACTGCGTTCCCATGTTGCCTGGCATTCGCCACGCCACCGCAGATCGTATCGTCGTGGAAGTCATACCGGACGAACGCCGGGGTGCTGGACCAAGTGCCATGCGTACCAAACGAAGCGAACGTCCACGCAGACGCGGTATCTCCCAGTGGCGTGCAGCAGCCTTGACCCACCTGGAACGCGCTGCACTCCGCGCGCTTCGACTGCGCGGACGTCGCGTTGGCGGTCAAATGTTCGCGCCAGCTGCTCGTCGCCAGCTGCATGCAGGACGCGCTTGGTAGCACGAGAAACACGAGAGGCCAGACCATCCCAGACGCCGCCATCCAAGCAGAGTGTACGAGAGGAAGTTACGCAAGTCCGATGTGGCCAGGTGGTTGTGTGTGTGTGGGAGTGCGTGTAGAGTGCAGAAATCCACGTTCGATGATTGAGCCAATCGCGTGTTTGGCGCTCGAATTCGAGCGTGCCACAGAACAGGCTGAGGCGGACCCGGTTGGAGGCAAAGATGGTACGGGAGTCACCATTGTCATCGAATCCCAGCAGCCGTTAGGGCGTGAGTGGTCTAGCGGGCTGTCTCTTCCACTCCCCCTTCTTTCCCTCAGGGAAGGCTCAATCGACTGTGGGTCAACCCGAGACATGCCCCACCCACCCCAGCATCATCCCTGTCAAAAGACAATATAGAATGCGCTTTGCCTCTAAATCTGGAGCATGCGCGGGCGCCCTGCGACCACTTTGCATCGGTTATTGACAAAGACGGCGAGGGTGCCGTCATGTTGCTCGCTGCGCGCAGGCCACCCATCCCTGTCAAAGAACAATACAATACAGAATGCACTTTGCCTCTAAATCTGGAGCATGCGCGGGCGCCCCGCGAGCACTTCGCAATGGCTTCTGACAAAGACGGCGGGGGTGCCGACACACGGCTCGCGGCGCGCAAGCCAGCAGTCCATGCCAAAAAAATACAGCATGCACTTTGTCTCCACATCCGGAGCGCGCGTGGGCGCCCCGCGACCACACTGCATTGGCTTGACAGGGACAACGGGGGTGCCAGAAGATTGCGTAAACATGGAGCACGTGCCGCACCTGGCGCGCCTGGCTCGCTTGGGTCTCCAGGGTGCCTGGAACCCGTGGCGCACAGGGCATGCGTGGAGCTCCTAGGCAATATGCTGAGACCCTCTCGGGTTTTATATGTGTTGGGAGAGCGGATGGGAATGAGCGAAACGGCTTGAGGGCGAAGGGGGGGCCTCATTCACTGCTCCCTATTGATGTACACCACCTCCCCAACCCGGTCGGCGGCCAACCCGGAACCATGACGACCCCATGAGGGCCATTCCCCCCACCCCTATCAAAAAACAATACAAAACGCACTTTGCCTCCACATTTGGAGCATGCGCGGCCGCCCCGCGACCATTGTGTATTGGTATTTTACAGGGACAGCTGGGGTGCCAGCAGATCCCACCTGCCTTCTGGGCGCAGGTGGTCGACCGACCGGTTTGACACATCAGTGGCTGCTGCCCTTCTCGCACGTTCGTTTCTCATACGTGGATGGGGGGGGGCGCGCGCGGTGGCCAGCAGCCACAAGCGTGCGCTGGGGCGCACGCAGGTGGAGCCCCTAATGGTTCCCAGTGGCTGGCGGCTCTGGCGCGGCTGGAGCACGTGGAACAATGGGCGCACGTGGAGCACGTGCCGCACCTGGCGCGCCTGGCACGCTTGGGCCTCCAGGGTCTGGTGCATCTGGAACCCGTGGCGTCTGCGGCGTTCTTACGCGATATGCTGACTCCCGGGTGTCACGAATGTGTTGGGAGTGCGGGTGGGAGTGAGCAAGACGGCTTGCAGGCGGGTGGGAAGCTTGACCCCTCCCCCTACCCCCTCCCCTGGATCGGGACGGCGGGGGGCGGGCGCGGGTCGATGAAGCGTCCAAGAAGGCATCGGCGAGAAGGCAAAAGTCATGGATTGTCTAAAAAAAAAGTTGGACCTAGTTTGGCCTCCTGGGGGGGGGGGGGGCGCTAATCAAGGACCCCCCCTTCTTTAAACGAACCCCTCCAAAATGGTGGCCCGAAGATGGCCCCCACGGCTCCCTAGAGTGCCACACGAATGCCCCAGGAGGCACCCATGAGACCCCAAGAGGCCCTCAAGAGGTCCCCAAGAGGCTCCCAAGAGACTCCCAAGAGGCCACGGAAAGACGCCCCAAGATGACTCCAAGAAGTTCTCAAGAAACATCCGAAAAGCCTCCGAGTGGCATCCAACAGGCCTCTGGCCATTTTCCACCTCCACCTCCTCTTCCTCCTACTCGTCCCCCCCTGTTCTTCCTCCTCCACTTGCTCATCCTTTTCATCATTCCTCCCTTTTCCCCTCCTCCCCCATCTGCTTCCTCCTCCTCCACCTCCTCCTTTTCCACCTCCTCCTCCTCCTCGTCATCATCCGCCTCCTCCTCCTCCTCGTCCTCCTCCTCCTCCTCCTCCTCCTCATCATCATCATCATCATCACCATCATCATCATCATCGTCATCATCATCATCATCATCATCATCATCATCAGCGGCATCAGCATCATCATCATCAGCATCATCATAATCGGCATCATCAGCATCATCATCATCAGCAGCATCATCATCAGCATCACACGAATGCCCCAGGAGGCACCCATGAGACCCCAAAAGGCCCTCAAGAGGTCCCCAAGAGGCTCCCAAGAGACTCCCAAGAGGCCACGGAAAGACGCCCCAAGATGACTCCAAGAAGTTCTCAAGAAACATCCGAAAAGCCTCCGAGTGGCATCCAACAGGCCTCTGACCCTGTTCCTCCTCCACCTCCTCTTCCTCATACTCGCCCCCCCCCCCCTGTTCTTCCTCCTCCGCTTGCTCATCCTTCTCATCCTTCCTCCCTTTCCCCTTCTCCCCCATCCGCCTCCTCCTCCTCCACCTCCTCCTTTCGCACCTCCTCCTCCTCCTCCTCGTCCTCCTCCTCCTCTCCTCCTCCTCCTCCTCCTCCTCCTCCTCCTCCTCCTCATCATCATCATCATCATCATCATCATCATCATCATCATCATCATCATCATCATCATCATCATCATCATCATCATCATCATCATCATCAGCATCATCATCATCATCATCATCATCATCACATCATCATAATCGTCATCATCATCATCAGCATCATCATCATCATCATCATCAGCATCAGCATCATCATCATCAGCATCATCATCATCACCACCACCACCACCACCATCATCATCATCATCATCATCATCATCAGCAGCAGCAGCATCACCATCATCATCAGCATCATCATCGGCATCATCAGCATCATCATCATCAGCAGCATCATCATCAGCATCATAATCATCATCATCGTCATCGTAATCGTCATCATCATCATCATCATCATCATCATTATCATCATCATCATCATCATCATCATCATCATCCATCCTCCCCCTCTTGGGGTATGATGGCTTTCTGAACCCTTTATTCCACTGTATCCTTCTCCACATCCATGATCAGGGTAACTCGCCTGGGCATTGTTCCTGGATGAGCTGGTGGGGTTACTTTTTGGTACGCGGGCTCGCGAAGCAAGTCGAAAGCCGTGCAAAGCTAGGGCGGGCCGCGCCGAAGCAAAGGACAAAGCATTGAGAAGAGCGGCGCCCGGCTCAGAAGCTGGGTCTGGTGGGGTTACGCGGAGCGTCTAGAATTCAAAGCGTCGGGCAACATGAAAGAGTAGCTCAAAGAAGCTGGGAAGGACAATCGTTTGGTATGGAATGATGTCAAGTATGCCCACGCTTAGCCAATCAACTGTTTGGTATGGAATGGTGTCAAATATACCCATGTTTAGCCAACATGATCGAGCAAATCATGCGCATGCTGCTATGATTTCTCGAGTTGGCTGGTTTCGGGCGAACAACTGTTGTAGCGCTCCTTCTTCTCCCCCTTCTCCTCCTCCTCCTCCTCCTCCTCCTCCTCCTCCTGCTGCCCACCACTGAGGGATGGGGACTTTCCAACGGAAAGGGGGGGTCGCGACGTCGCGGTAGCCCGCCCTGCCAGACTGCCCTACCTCCCCCCCGTCCTTCATTCGGAACTGCCTCCATCGAGTTGCCTTCGCCGGCTGCCGACCTCTGAGGAAAGATGGTCCTAGATCCTGTTCCCGCCCTCGAAGGAGGACACATGTCCACATCCACAATTCCTCGAGAGGACGTCCAGATTCTGGCCGCGACTCCGAGGCCGTGGATATGGGATATACTCTGGAGGTGGACTCTGGACTCCCCTCCCCCATGCGGGGGCAACGTTTGGGGCTCATCATGGAGGGCCACAAAAGGGGGGCACGAAGGGGGGGATCGGGAGGGATAGGGGCACTTCTCAATGAGTATACCCCCTGCCGTTTCGAGCCCCACGGCTCGAGACGCCTCCAAGATGGCCCCAAGACGTCCCGCGACGCCCCAGAGGGCCCCGAGACTCTCCAAGATGGCAGCCAAAACGGCGATTGAATCATGGCCCAAGATGGATTCCACGACGACCAATATGGCCTCAAAGGGACGGTATAGATGACCTCAAAGACGGCACCGGTTGCCCTACGTGGTCTCCAAAACGATTCAGCATGTCCTCCAAGACGGCCGACATGTCCCAGACGGCCCCAACACGACCCAAGTTTGCTCCAAGACGGTCCCGGATCGCCTCAAAGGGTACACGAAAAGGCCCCAGGAGGTTCCACCTCGCTTTCATCATGCTCCCTTTCCTGATCCTCCCCCGCTCCTCCCAAAAGTGTCCCCCGAAAGGTCTCCACAACGGCTTAGGGAGCGCGTGGTCCGACAGCTGGACCGAGCTACGGCCGCAACGTTCGGCCAAGTAGGCGCTGCCAGAAACCACAGAAACGCGGTGTTTTGCCGCACGGGGTGTTACCAATCCAGATACGTATACATACACGTACACACGCACCTACATGAACATATAAATGCATAGATGCACATGCATCAACATGTACATACAAATCTTCACCATAACGCACATGTATGTATATGCATACACATATACACATGACCTATGTGCAGAACGTATATGCACGTATACACTAGCATATACATGTAAAGTCCACCTGATATATGCATACGCATATACCTACAAATCCAATGATACGCGAAAACATACAAACCCACGCACATACGCATACACATAACACAAACTTGTTTATATATATACACACGTAAACATTTGTATACACGTAGACATGTAAACACATGCATTATGCATGAAAAACATATCTACATACATCCATACACGTATAAAACGTTATACTCATGTACATAGACATACGCGTATGCATACCCATATACATGTACATACATATACACTGACAGAATAAACGCATGTACCGATAGATCTGTAGATGTGCAAAATATACAAACGTCGACATATACATATGCAAGTGCATACGCATGACCATAAGCAAATACGCGTACATCAACATAGTCAACACATCGACGTACATACATAAATACAAACACATGCATGTACAAAGTCGTTGGCATCAGCATCCGCATATTTATTTATCCATATACATATATATAAATATATATAAATGTGTGCAGGAAC